TCTTTCTTTCTTTCTTTCTTTCTTTCTTTCTTTCTTTCTTTCTTTCTCTGTCTCTCTGTCTTTCTGACTGTCTTTCTTTCACACACTCTCTCTCCCTTTCTATTTCTTTTCTTTTCTTTTCTTTCTTTCTTTCTCTTTCTTTCTTTGTCTCTTTCTTTTTCTTTCTCTCCCTTCCTCCTCGCCACGCACCAGCTCTTTTACCTACTGATGTTCTGAGCAAAAGGAAAAGTGTGTCCTCACAATCTCATGCCTGCAGCTAGAGCCGGGTTTGGAAAATGCATGGTTACAGTGGAGAAGCAGTCCTTCTTAACAAGCTCCAAACTGTTGCTGCTGCTGCAAGCTATGAAGCCAGACTTGGAGCAGTTTTGGAGTTTTTTTTTAAAGCAAATTTTATTGAATATACAATTAAAATAAATGAACAAACACATGCACAACATAGAAAAACAAAGAAAACAAAAAAAAATGAATCAAGGGCAATTCCATTATCGACAGTTTGTGGTTCTTTATTTGTTATCATTACTGGTGTCATATTTACCATGAAATTTTAATGCAAGCATATAGTTACTACCGATGTAGCTTAATCTCCTTTACAGTTTAATAATGTTTACTATTATATTATCTATCTTTGTTCTATCCAATCGTACCAACATTCCCAACTCTTGTAATAGTCTGATGATTTTTTATCCTTAAGTGCTAGGATCAATTTATCCATTTCTGCAGTTTACTATTTTCTGAATGGTCATTTCCTCTGTTGGAATATAGGCTGGTTTCCAACATTGTGCAAAAGCTAATCTAGCTGCAATAAGAATGTGTAATATTATATATTTAGCTTTTTGGGGAAGTTGTCTATTGAATATCCTTAATAGGAAGAATTCTGGTTTTAATTCAATCTGCTCAGCCGTAATTTCCTCCAACCATTTTTTGATTCTCCGCCAGTATCTTTCAGCTTCTGTACAGGACCACGACATATGGTAGAATATTCCGTGTTTCTTTTTACATTTCCAGCAATTCGGATTGATGTTAGGAGACATCTTTGCTAATCTCGAAGGAGAGAGATGCCACCTGTAAAACATTTTATAGGCATTTTCTTTATATGTTGCCGATTTTGTGATTTTATTATTCCTGGTCCAGACCTTTTCCCATTCTATTAAAGTGATGCTACGTCCTATATTTCTACTCCAAGCTATCATATTGCCTTTGACTTCTTCCTCCTCTAATTCTATCTCTAATAGGTAGTTATAAAATTTGGTTATTTTTTTTTCTGTCTGACCCTAGTAAGATTTTATCTAATTGTTGTGCCTTACTGTAGATTCCAAAAACATTCTCATCCTGTCTATATCTATTTTGTATTTGGAGGTAAGACAACTGGTCAATTCGTAGCCCTTGTTCTTGGAGATCTTGCCATGATTTTAAAGTTCCTTGCGCATCCAGTAGGTCTTTATATTTTATCATCTTGTTAATATCCAGATTGTTTGGATGTATCATCGCCTCCATCGTTGAGATCCAAATTGGAATCTTTAGATAGTGTTTTTTCTTTATTTTATTCCATTTAGCCAATAAAGAGTCTCTAATTACATGTCTGTGGAAGTAATTCTGTTTGGTTTTCCCTGTGTCCCATAAGAACTCATGCCACCCCCTCTGTAAATCATGGCCTAGAAATAATATTCTTTTATTCGATAAATTTACCCATTCTTTCAGCCATAGTAAGGAAGCTGCGCTGTGATATAGTTCCCAATTTGGGAGTGCCATAACCCCCCTGCTCTTCATATCTTGCATTGCTTTTAAATTTATTCTCGTTTTTTTCCCTTGCCAAATAAATTTTGCTATTATCCTATTGAGTTCCACAGAGTATTTTTTTATGTATTTTTATTGGTATTGTCTGGAACAAATAAATAAATTTAGGAAGAATAGTCATTTTAATAGTGGCAATCCTCCCTAATAGGGAGAGTTGCAATTTAACCCATAGCTCTAGGTCTTTTTTTACCTGTTGCAGTAGTTTGTTATAGTTATTTTCCATTAGTGTCTCACAATTAGCCGTCAACCATATTCCTAAGTATTTAATTTTCTTTACCACTTGTAATCCCATTGCCTTTTCCAATTCTGATTTCTGTTTTTCTGTTAAGTTTTTGGTTATTAATTTCATTCTTTTCCTGTTAATTTTGAGTCCTGTGACTTTCCCCAATTGATCTAACTCTTTCAACAGTTCCTGACCTAGTTCAATTTGATCTTCTATGAAAAAGACCATATCATCTGCGAATGACTGCAATTTACATTCTTCTTTATTAATCTTTAACCCCTTTATTCCTGGGTTCTGCCTAATTCGCATAAGTAGTGTTTCCAAAGATAGTATGAAGAGCAGGGGAGATAGTGGACATCCCTGCGTAACTCCTTTCTCTATTTTTATTGAGCACGTATATTCTCCATTAATTATGATATTCGCCTTTTGTGAGGTGTAAATTGTGGTTACGATGTTTTCAAGTTTAGTGCCTAAATTCATATTGGAAATTTGTTGAATTAAAAATTGCCAATTTAAATTGTCGAAGGTCTTCTGTGCATCCAAGAATACAAGGGCTATTTGTTTTTCCAGGTGGGCTTCGTAGTATTCCAAAACATTTAACACTATTCTTAAATTGTTCCTAATTTGTCTGTTGGGGAGAAATCCATTTTGGTCTTTATGTATATATTCATTCAAAATTCTTTTAGTGTATTTGCTATAATAGTAGCAAATATTTTATAGTTGGTATTTAACAAAGAAATTGGTCTATAGTTTTGTATGAGTTGGGGATCTGAATCTTCCTTCGGAATCAGCGAAATCAACGCCTCCCTCCATGAATCCGGCATTTTAGCTGCAAGAAAAACCTCATTATATACTTCCACCATAAGGGGTCCTATTTGTTCTCCTATTGCCTTGTAGAGTTCCCCTGGGATCCCATCAGGTCCTGGAGTTTTGTTGTTTTTATTTTCTATTGCTGTTTTCAGTTCAGACCACATAATATCTTTAATTAGCATTTCTTTCATCTCATCCCCAATTGCTTTGTCTTTTGTTACGCCCAAGTAATTTCTTATGATATCCTCCTTTACCTCCTTTTTATAGAGGTCTTCAAAATATTTATGTGCAATTTCTTTTTTCTATTCTATTCCCTGTTGGGCATCCCCATTTCCATCTATTAATTGATAAATTAATCTTTTTTCTTTTTCTTTTTTGAGTTTGTAGGACAGCCATCTCCCTGGTTTGTTAACCTGTTCAAAGAATATCTGTCTAGCTATATTCAACTTTGTAATCATTCCCTCCTGTTCAATTAAGTTCAATTTGTGTTTAGTTACTATCATCTGATTTTGCAATTTACAATCCTTTGGAGTACTTTGTAACTGGCTTTCTAGTTCTTTAATTCTTTGTTTTAATTTATTTTGTTGGACATAATTTTCTTTATTCCTCCTGACAGTATATGATATCGTTGTGCCCCTTATTACAGCCTTAATTGTATCCCAAACATTCTGCTTCATAGTTGCCTCATTATTGTTTTCTTTTAAAAAGTAATCTAATTCCTCCTTGAGTCTATTCATAAATTCTTTTTCTTTAATTAGCTGTGTATTTAGCATCCACCTCTTCCTTGGCTTTTTCCTACCTTTCCACAATATCTGAATCAGATTATGATCTGCCCATTTGTTAGGTAAAATTTCAATCTCTTTTAACTCATTTACTATTTCACCATTCATCCACACCATATCAATTTGTGTCCATGATTGGTGTGGATTTGAGTAAATGTAAATTGTTTTTTCTCTGGGTTTAATTTTCTCCACACATCTATCAAATTCAATTCAGTCATCCTTTCCTTGCATGTTTTCGGTAGCCCTCTCTTTTTCCTCTTCACGGCCTGATTTTGGAGAGAATTCTTACAGATTATAGGGTCATCGCAAGGATTGAGTATGGCATACCATCCTAGTTCTAATGGGGCTTCAGAAAGAGCCAATGCGGTGATAGAACGCTACTTATGTTGTTATGTGTCGTATCAGCAGACAGACTGGGCTACATTAATACCTTTTGCTGAAGTAGCATATAATAACACAGTACATAGCAGCACAGGACACACCCCTTTTAAGGTTGTATATGAAATGGATTTCATAGCTGTACCTGAATTACCTGAGACGATGGACAACCCTACCACTGCTACCACCTGGTCTACAAAGATCACAGAAACTTGGAGAAACGTACATGAAGCTATACATAAGGCATTTAAAGCTTATAAGACACATGCTGATAAGAACACAGAGTGTTCACCCACCATTTCAAATGGGAGATTCCTGCCATTCAGGAAGTCTGGATTAACAAGTGTGAGATAGGGGGAAGATCGGAAGTGGGGAAGCAAGTAAAGTTACTGTATTTCTATAGATGATATTTAAAAATTCACTGGAGTTCTTTTTCTTTTTTGGACTATTGACTTGGAGGTCTAATAAATTGAAACCTGTTAATTGAAGAGACCATATGAAATTTGGAAG